CGGATCCTGACCCGCACTCGGACCCGGCCCGCACACGGATCCTGACCCGCACACGGACCCGGCCCGCACTCGGATCCTGACCCGCACTCGGACCCGGCCCGCACACGGATCCGACCCGCACACGGATCCTGACCCGCACACGGATCCTGACCCGCACACAGACCCGGCCCGCACTCGGACCCGGCCCGCACACGGACCCGGCCCGCACTCGGATCCTGACCCGCACTCGGACCCGGCCCGCACTCGGACCCCGGCCCGCACACAGATCCGACCCGCACACGGACCCGGCCCGCACTCGGACCCGGCCCGCCGCACGCTCCGCGGTCCCCGCCGCCTGGGCTCGGAGCGGGCCCCGGGCACGCCGCAAGCCCCGGCGGCTCCCGGGCAGCAGCCCGCCAAAGATCCCGCCTGTGCGGCGGCTGTCCCGCGCCCGGCCCGCCGCTATTGCACAACCATGGCAACGGCGAGGGCTTGGTCCCTGGCAGCCTCGGGCACGGCGACAAAGCCGCCCGGCAGCTGGCAGCCTTTGTGGCACGCAGGGTGGCGAAGGCGCGGTGGAAGACAGGGGTGGTGTTGAACCGGATCGCTAAGGAGACCCAGCCAGGGAGGGGGTCAAGGGGTGAACAAAGGTTCAGCACTATCTTTCTCAAGCAAGTTCTGAAGCCTTCTGCTTCTCCACTGGGCAGCTGGATATGTACCTGTGCAGCCTCTCTCTGTGCACCGCTGCCATTTCCACTGGTAGTCAGCAGTGGGGTTCTCCACTGTCCTTTTGCATTTTGCTTCATGAAAGGAAAGGCAGCTCCTAAAATGTCACTGCCTTCGACCTGACCTGCAGGTTTCTGCCCAGAGCTGCGATTCAAACCTGGGAGAATTGTTACTATAGCACAACCCTATATTTGCTGCGTGTATCCCTTGGTCCATAACTGCAGGAAAACAAAAGCTGAAAAGCTACTTGGTACTGGGGATCTCCAATGGTGGGGTGCTTGCAATGCTTTCATTCCTCCTCTCAAGCATCAGTTGGAGTTTGGGGTGTGGGAGAGGATCCCAAAAATCATTATTTGTTCATACTTCCCATCATCCAGAATCTCAAGAACTGCCCCTGTTAGGTTTAACAGGCAGGTTTACCCTGCCTTAGGTTTATCATTTCTCAGAGAAAGAGATTTTTTGCAACATGATAAATGCAGATATAACATTTTAGGAAAAAAACAAAATCGTCATCTACTTTGGCTTCTATGCAGCAGGTTCAGACTCTGCAGACACTTTTTTTTTTTGTTACAGACCCCACAGAGAAAAGCCAGTTATTTCAAGAGAAAGGAATGCATTAATGTCTGCACTCCATAGTTATTCATTAATATTTTTCTTGCACCACTTCCATAGTTCTAAACACCCTATGCTTCATAAAAGAGAGAGGGAAGAAAAAAAAAAAAAAAGCCAAGGAAAGCCATTAAGCTTTTCAGTCCTGAACCACCAGACTTCAAGACTAGGGTGCATTTCCCTTTGATTACTGTGGAAGAAAGATGGAGCTGGGCCAGCAGCACCCAAGATCACTGAAAAATTGACAGCAAATGGATGGTCCATGGAGCCTGGTCCATCCAAACAGCAAGCCTGGAACACACCTTCGGAGTCAGACTGCAGCCAGGGGCTGGGGCCTCTCCATCCCCGAGTCACCCCTTCTGTCTGCATGACTTCCCCACAAACTGCACATCAGCTGCTTCCTGGGCTGCCCGAGCTAATGACAGCCCAGTTGGCATTCAGTCACTGTCCTTTTACAGAGCTTCATTCTGCTCCAAATGATGGCAAGGATTCAAATCATCCAAGCAGACTCCGGCTCCTCTGCAGGGCAGGCAGGGCTGGCAAAGTTCTCCAGAGACACCAGCAACATCTCTGCTCTCCATGCTTATGCTTGTCTGGGGGAAAAAACAGCACAGGCTTTTTTCTTCTTCAAACATGAGCCCCCTAGGGAGAAATCCCAGCTCCTCTTCTTCCCCCGAGGCAGGAACAGGAGTTTTTTACAGGCAGACCAGAAAAAGAAAGGAGTTAAGGCTAAACCTGTGCTCAGGGAGCAGCACAAACCCCCTGGTAGCACCAGGGGAGGCAGCCTCGGTTCTGCCACATCCTGGAAAGCAGGAGGGGAAATGAAATCTCCTGTCTCATGGTGCAGCTATTGCAAACACAGGCTCTAATGAGCTGTTACCACAAACACAGCAGGAAAGGGAAGAGAAAGTGAGTAAGGATAACTTTATGGAAGTTAATTGGTTTACTTTTATTTTTTCTGCCTCGTTCTTGTGGAAAGCACTCATCCTCCTCAAAACACCTACAGATAAAATCCAGCCATCAGATCAAAGCTGAAGGAGCTTGGCAGAGCTAGTTTGCTGACACCTCCCCATGCTTTTATTGCAACAATAGGAGTACCTGAGAAGAGAAGAATATATTTCAACTTTGAGTTATCTCAAAGATAGCTCCTGTAAAGGCAAGCACATATCAAAGTATGAAGCTGCCTTGGTGAAGACAGGACATTGCTTAGCACAAATCCAAGGGCAGACTGCAAGCAAGAAGGAGAACCTGATATAAGCCATTGTAGGGGTGCATTTAGTCCTTTGTTGTTAAGAAATAAAACTACACAGAGGAGGCTGGGAGAAAAGTCATCGTTTCCAGTGGGTGTACAACCATCCCTATCTTTAATGTACAGAATTTGTATTGCAAATCCAAAGCATCCTATTCTCATTCAGATTGGGAAGATTAATTTTATGATAATTCAACACCATTAAGAAACTCACTGGGTTTTTACTTACATGTTAATACAGTCCTCGAGGTTTATGCAGAATTGATACACAAAGGCTCCTTCTGGTGGACTTCAGCAGTGTTATCCAAGAGGTGGAATGGAACAGCTACAGATCACCAAACCAATGTGCTGGATTCCACTGACAATCCTAGAGAAGGTGGCACTGTAAGACTATGCAGGTACAGAACCATATAGAAATGGTCCCTGCCTAAATGATAGCAGGAAATTATACCTTTGGGAGCAAGAACAGGACAGAGCAGCAGGGAAAATGTTCCTTGTTCCTTGGCCTCTGCAAAGCCCCAAAGTCCCTTCTGTTCTTGTCCCTCCCTTGGTAGTGGTGCTCTCCTTGTACACTTGTCTGAGCATTTTCCTTTCTTCCCTGGTGTCTTTGAGAAAATTGATTTGAGACACCCCAGGTCTGATCTGCAAGCCACTGAAGGACCTGCCTCATTTCTTAGCAAACTGATGGGCTTTATTTTTAAAATGGAGCAGGGCTACTGTGGAGCTCTGACCTTTTCCAGTTTCTGCTGCTTCTTAGCCAAGACTTCATTGCTGTAGGGCAGCACCCTTGGGTTTTGCCATGGATACCCGCTTATTGCAACAACAGCAGATGAAACATCCCCCTTAGAAGCTCCACAGTTAAACAAGTTAACTGGAGAGCAAGGGACTTACTGTGGGAACTGTTTGGTTTGTTGGTTTTACTAATGCTCAGTCTGGATGCTGGCCACCAGCGAGGCTGTGAGCAGGGAGATCTTGAGGGAGCTGCATTCAGTGGCATTTGGCTTAGGTTATTGCAGGGAATTCTGCATCTGGGCCTTCTCTCTCAGATTTTTTTGGTTTGATGCCCTGAGCACACCATAACAATTGCTTAACCCAGAGCTGCTGCTGCAACAAGAATTGAAAAATGAAAGTCATTCTTCTTTGGGCCACTTGTAACAAAATAGTTGAGCAGAGGAGGTTCCCAGTCAGGACTGCTTTTTGGCTTTGGTTTCTGTAGGAATCCTCCAGTAGGACTATTTCCTCTTCTGAGTAATCCAGAGCTGGGCATGCTGAGTGAACTCTGTTTCCTTTTGCTGGCTACACTTGTTACACACAAGCAGACCGCTAGCTCTGCTGGGCATCTAGAGTGATCAGGCTTAATGTTCCAGTAACCTGCATTAAAGAAAACCCATAGATACAGATGTTGGTAGCTCTGGGACTGAGACAACAACAAATGGGACCCCTCGCTCAATTCTACTGGACCACAAGCATATAAAGCATTAGCCACACTCTAATGGCTAAAGGAAATGTCATTAAAAATCTAATTCTACTTAATTCTACTTCCCCGAACTTTCCTGCCCTCCCATTTGATATCCCTTCACAAAATGAAAATTGCACATCTGTGCCATGACAAAAGACAAATAGAATCATGGTAATTGCAAGTAAGATTCCTGAAAAAGAAGAGGCTTGGAGGAGACATTGCAGACCTCTTAACTGCTTGGAGGCTCCTGCCACAGGAAGTGCACTACAAGCCTTGGATATAAGTCTAGATGAAAATAAAGGCATAAAGAATGGCCAAGGAAACTAAGAGGCTGTGCCATCACATTGCTCATACTTCTGCAACTGCCAGCCCAGAGAATGTCTCATATTCAGGAATCTTGTGCTGTGCTCTTTGTGCCACCATCTCCGTTTCCCAGGAGTTTCTCAGAGCACAGCTGGGCACTTGTCCTTCCACATGCCCTTGTGTCAGCCATGTGTGTCAGGGAAAGGATGTTTGGGACCCTGTTTGGGACCAGGAAGGACTAGGTCAGCAAGGAAAGGTGCTTCAGTGGACCCTGTGGTGGTGTCCCTTCAGTGGTGAAGATGTGCTGCAGCCACCCTGAGTGGTCACACCTATATTTCTTGGTGCTTTTTACTCTGCCCTTGGGGAATTTTTCCTCCACCATCACCAGTTCACTGTTTATCCAGGTACAGCTCCTGGGAGCTGTGTGTAGAGGCTCTCCTCAGTCCTGGCAAAACACTCTGGGGAGCTGGAATGACACTGGCCTGGGGCTGCAGCCTGGGCCTGCCAGCTGGGGATTGTCACAGTGTGACAGCAGGGAGCTGGGCTGGCTTTCTGGGCAATCAAAATACTGTCCTTGGTAGGATGGTGGCTTGTTTGCTGGCATTGCTGGCATCTCTGCCAAATAGTTTTGTCATCATCACTATTGTAATGTCTTGGCCTAGAGCAATGGTAACCCTTGCCTTTCCTGTGACCTTGGGGATGGTCTCTCTTTGACCTCTTGGAGAATGACTAATGGAAAGTGCAGATGTTCATATTGCAGCTAAATGATGCAACCAATCCAGGAAATCCTTCACTAGCTGATTTTAGTTTCTTCTTTACTTCATAGAGGGCATGAAAAGGATGATAAAGGGTTAGAAGCAGAAAAGGAAGAGGGCAAAGCAAACAACTGATGGTGGTTTCTGGGACAGATTTTCTACCACAAGTCCTCCATTGGCAGTAAGCACTGGGGAGCAGGAGCTGTGAGATAGATCCAGAAAACATTTTCCTGCTATGACAGCATCTACATCCCAGCAGAACAATAAATATGTAGGCCAAAATACTGCCTATTTCTCCACCTTTGCCTTTGGTGATGTCATGGGGGAAAAGTCTCTCAGGAACTGGCTCAAGTATCCCCAGATCTGCGAGGCAGGGCACTGGGAGAAGGGAGAGGATAAGGAGAAGAAACCACTTGTTATCACCTGCTAAACACCACCTCCAATAAAGATACTGTTCCTTCCCTGAGTTCCTGCACAGAAATTCTGTCTCTCTTTAATGGAAATATTGTCCCATCTCTCTTAGGCTGGGATTTAATCAGCAGAAGGGTTTCCCTCCCTCAAAAAGTTTTTTAGAAAAAAACATTCCATTTGAGTCAAACATCCAAACTCCATCTCAAAATAGTTAAACAAATATTTTTGCTATTTCAATTTTATGCTGTACTTTGGGAAAATATTAATTGTAACATCATACTTTTGAAGTTTGAAAACCATAAAACTACATTTTAAAATGAAGATGAAATCACTTAATATTCTTTAAAGGAAGGAAGCAGAAAAAGTAAGGCCTTTTGAAACAGCATTAATAATTATCTTTTTTTCAAATATTTGTGGAGTTATGTTAAAACTAAGTGGTATTTTCTGATTTAAAAAAAGAAAATGCCAGAAGGCTTCTAACAATCTCTGCCAAATCTGCCAGGGCCACATCTCATGACCTTTTCATGGGAGTGCATGTGACACTGGTAGCACAAACTGAGCAGGAGCTGTCCACCCACTCCAACCAGGGAACAGTCAGGACACAGAAGAACATTAAACAAGATTTCTCAGCTCTGGGATGTAGAGCACAGCTGTATGGACACAACAGATATTTTTAAAAGCAAAAAACAAGTGGCTCCAGAGCTGGAACTCATCCATAGCATTGGGGCAGACCCAATTTCTATCCCACTCCCCACAGGTGAGCACAGCCAGGTCTCACCCATGGATCCCCTCCTTAACCTCATGCTCCTTTTCCCCAGGTTGCTGTATTTTAGTCCTTACTAATCCAGACTCTTCTGTCACATCACATCCAATGAGATAAATGATCCATCTATTCTGGTATCACTTTTTCAGTTGTGATACTTCTACAAAGTATTTAATGGCCACGATGAACCTGGCCAGGCGCAGAAGAACATACACAAAAATAAAAAATATTAGCATGGCAATTAACCTTCCTTAAAGGTTTTGTTTGAAACTCTTAGAGCCTTCTAGTTACCATGTCTACTCTATTTAAACACAAGGCAGCAAAGGTTGGTTGCAGTGGCTCTGAACAGGATATAAACACAATTGGAATGTCAAGACAACAAACCAACATATCAGCACTGGATACAGAAGCTTTTTCCATGGAGCCTGGAAAGATATTTAAAAAGAAAAATGGTTACCTGCACTGAAATCTGGGCAGGATGATTCCAGCTTCTGCATGATCTCAAAAAGTCCAAAATGGGCCTTTTACAAAAAGAATCACTTATGATGGTGCCACAACAGGGCAGCATAATCACTGACTGGAGAGTCAAAATTCACTTGGGCAATGCCACTGGCTCCTGGCAGTCCAACATCCACATCCAGTCTGCTGGAGCAGTGATTCCTGATGGGGAAAATCATCAACAGCTCAACAGGCAGCAACACGATGTCCCCAGCACTGCAACGGGACAATGACATCAGCTGAACATGACAAGAGAAACAAAGGCAGGCCACTGCTAAATCACACGGCCCAATTAGTGCCCATCATGCCTTTAGTTAGTGGGGAAGCACATAGGGAAAGGTCCAAGGTAATAAAGAGGGCAGGTTTTGCATTCTCAGGAAGACAAAAAGGCTGGCAGATGGGCTGATTGTATTCTGAAGTCAAGCTCCTGAATGAAGTGTGTGGCTCAGTACTAAATGAGGGAATCCATTCTGCTGCTTGGAATATGGTTTTCCTTTTGCCAGCCCTGCGGTGCCAGGGCCAGTCTTACCTCAAAGGACATTTTCATCAGCCTACAGGAAGAAAAACCACTCCTCTGTTTCCTTACCAGAAATGTGGCTGTGACAGCACCATCCCTGTTAAGTAGCAAGTAGGTCACTAGTGGGAAATGTTACCCTGGGCCAAGCCACGTTCAGAACAGTTTGGGGAATTAAATCATCCTCTCTCTCGTCTCCCTGCTGCTGTTTGCAGGACCACCAAAGAAAGTTGCCCAGATGATGAACTGGATGAGCTCAGCCATTGTGACAGACACAGGTCAGTGCTGCAGAATGGCTCCCACTGCATCACGCAGCCAAGGGCTGAACAAAAGCTACAAGGGTTCAATGACAAGGTTTTGCTAAGCTGTTCTTTTGAAATGGACTTTCTGTGTTTTTTTTGCAAAGCGATTCCAGCCCAGTTAAAGTGTTTCTGAAACGCTACATACTTGTATTTGAGGCCTGACAATGTTCCACAAATATAGACATTCTTCTTTACAATTATATAGATACTGCTCTGCAAATTAAACATTAATGCCTAAACAACCAAATGCTGTCTGCAACCCTGCTGCTACAGACCAAGAATGAACATTACTTAGGAAAGGGAGACCTCCAAGGAAAAGAGTCAGGTATCTGCAGAAAGCAAT